GCCTTCAAGGCTGCTTCTCCGTGGTGGCTTCCGCCCCCAGGGGACCGCCCTGCTGCCATTCCACCTTCTGCCTTCTGGTCCCAGCTTCTGGGCCCTGTCCCCTCTCTGCCCCTCCACCCCGAGGGCTGGTATTGAGCGAAAGAAGCCGTTCACTAAAGAGTGTGCCTGCACACCTGCCAGGCGATTCTGTTTACGTGAGATTCAAGAACAGGCGACACTCCTCTGTGACAGAAATCAGAGCAGCAGCTGCCATGGGGGCTAGAGGGGATGACTGGGAAGGGGCTGGAGGGGACTTTCTGAGATGGGAATGTTTTATACCTGGATTGAGGCCTTGGTTACACAGGGGTGTACATTTGTAAAGACCCGTTCCACCATACCCTCAAGACCTGTGCATTTAACTGTGCGGACATCAGATGTCAATAAAACTAGTTAAGAAGAGGAAATCCCCGACCACATTCTGGAAGTGTTTCCTGATTTCCTGGTTGGATCCTGATGAAAGCACAGGTTTTATTTTTCAACAAACACGGGCAGACCGCAGAGGAGGATATACAATGTACATAGTGGGATTAATCTTTTCAACAATAAAACACAAGACTTCAAACAATTTCACACGTGGCTTGGTTTATTTCCAGCCATGTTCCCCAGCCCCGGGGAGGTATCCTGCATTGTCCCCTGCCTTTCTCTAGTCAAAAATGCTGCGAAGCGCTGGCCTGTATACGGCGTCCAGCTCTGCACCTGGTACACGGCGTGAGCTCCAGAAAGGTTAATTCTTACGACCGCGAGTTGGGTTTAATGCATCATGTTAAGGCCTTTCTCTGACTTTCTTCAAGACGGTGTGATTTCACCTTGTGATTTTTGCAAAGGCTTCAGCCCCTAAATTCTGCCCAGGATGGGGAGGGCTTTCTCAGACAGCGCAAGCCTGACACAGAAGTTAATGCATAGACACGTGTTCGGGGACGTTTGTATGTCACCCCAGGAAAGGAAGCAGGAGAGTCAGAATATCTGTGCCCCTCTTCATCATACCCCCAGAAAACAGGCAGTCCAGCCCAGCACCTGCTCAGCTTAATGACTAAGGGAGAGATGGCTGCCCCATCTCCTGGAAAGCTAGCCTGTGCGCGTGGTTGACAAAGGCTGTGCATAGGCTGAGAATGGACCAGAAGATACTAGAAACCCGGCCAGCCTCCCAGGCTGTGAGTTAGAGGAAGGGGGACCCGGGCACACATCCCCGCTGTGGCTCAGGGTCCAGACGGACCAGGCGGCGTGTGAAGCTTCTCCAGGGCCCGACAGTGCACCCACGCTGGATGGTTGCCTGTAGCCAAGTTGCCTGCTGGGAAGGCCGGGCACCGAGGCTTGGTTCTCAGCCCAGCTCTAAAAGGTGCTGTTCCATGGGCTGCGGCCCCTGGGGGGTGGGCAGGGCCCAGGCAGGCACAGGCGGCGCTGGGTCTCCAATCGGCAGAAGGGGTTCTGGTTGGACACCCGGGTGGTTATGCCCAGCCCACAGGTGGTGGAGCAGGGGCCCCAGGCTGTGCTCCATTCTGGGCAGGGGACGCCAGGGGATGAGGGAGCAACAAGGCCAGAAAACTGGGGTCCTGGGGGGAAGAAAGAGGGGTCAGCATTGCAAGGTCAGGGTTTAACAGCCAAACCAACCCATCAGCTTGCGGTACAATCTTGGTCGTGTTGCTTAACCTCTCTGGACCTCAGTTTCTTCCTATGTAAATTTCCTAATAGTTGATTATGGGGATTGAATAAAATAGTGGAGGTGAAGTGCTGAACACAGTGCCTGATACTTGTAAGGACTCCGTAAATATTGGTTATTAGGCAATTTTGATGGTGCTGACCATGACGGCCCCCCAGAACACAGTGACTTTCTCGTTGCTGTATCCTCCCTGACTCCTGTGATAAACAGCATCTTACGGGAAGGCAGTTGGGACCTGTGCCTGTGGGGGTGCTGGGACCTGGCGGCAAGGATGCTGGTGGCCCCAAGGCCGCGCCTGGAACAAGAGGGTGGGTCCCCATGATCAGGCTTTTCCTCCTCCTCGAGTCCTGCTCTGCGCTGTTAATATTTTGTCCTTCCTTCTGGCCCTTAATAACCAGTGGTTCTCAGCTGGGGGAAGTTTTGCCCCTGGAGGACATTTGGCAACATCTGGAGATGCTTTTTGTGGTCCCCACTGAGGGTGGGGCTACAGAATCCAGCAGAGATGCTGCTAAACATCCTACGGTGCATAGGGTAACCCCCTGCAAGGAATCACCCAGCCCACACGTCACTGGTGCCGAGGCTGAGAAACCCTGTGTCTGTATGCACACGTGTGCCGTATGTATGATGTCTGTGTGTACATATGGCTGTAGACACACACACGTAACGGAGATCAAATTGCATATGTGGTGCCTTTTTTATACCTAAAGTGAACTCATTGGCCCTCTCCTGTGTATTTAATCGGATATATCACGTTCCATCGTAGAGATAAGAGCTACCATCAGTGGAACATGTGTGCTAGGCCCCATTACAACTGCTTTCCTCGTATTTACTCATCCCGTCCTCATGACAACTCTATAAGGTGGCTGCTCTTATTCTCATTTTACAGTTGGAAGAACTGAGACACAGAGAAGTGAAGCAACTTTCTCAGAGTCACACAGCTAGGAAGCACTGGAGCTTAGAACCCGGGCAGACTCCATGCTCAGCCCACCACGCTCTACCGCCCCTCGTGCAGCGCTGTTGTCTGTGGACCCAATGCACTCTTTTTGGTTGCTTTTTTTAAAATCACATTCATGTAATAATAATAATTTTAAAAACCCAGTGACATCACAACAAAATCTCTAAAACTGAAGAGTTTATAGCAGGAGGCAGGGTCTTTCCTCCCCCTCTGACCACCCCTAGGCCCACGTCCTCCAGCTTTGCCAGTTCAGTGTGAGTTCCTCTTTTAATAAGCCCAATATTATGCTATTATATAACTTTTAAACTATATTATGTAAATACATTGTTAACATGTAGGGATACATTATAAATGTAACTAGCGTATGCGTTATAACTACACCTCTGCTATCAAATTTGAGAATGGGTTCCAGTGTCCCAACCCACCTCTCCCTGCATGCTGCCACCAATTTTCCCGTTTAATAACTTATGATTTAAAATGATCTACTTGCCCCGCTGCTTCTTGCTTGTGGGTTTTAAAGGGGTCTTGTGACTCCGCCCCTCGCTGTCTCCGCCGCCCCTCCCGGCTTCTTCTATCGGGAAACCGGCCCTGTGACCCCGGGCTCCTGCCCCTAGGCGGCCACCCCCGGCCACCCCTCCAGGTCCCCGCCCGCCGGCCGCGCGCGCTCACCTTGGGCCGGGAGGGGCTGCACCCCCGGCCCCGCTCCCTGGTCGCACACCCACTCGGGGCAGCAGCGGCCCGGGACATCCACCCTCCTGGGGCGGGGGCAGTCCCGGCTGGGCAGCCGGACGTCCTCGGGGCACAGCGGCACGCAGGTGAAGCCGCCGTCCTCGCAGCGGCAGCGCAGCCGGCAGTGGGGCTGGAAGGTCTCGCCGTCCCGGTACACGCGGCCGTTCACCTCGCAGCGCCCGTCATCCTCTCCCCCTGCGGGGCAGAAAGCGGGCCCGTCGGTGACCCCGGCTGCGCCGACCACCCACCGCACAGCCCTCTCTGTAGGGCTGGCCCAGATCCCGCTGGCAGCAGCAGCCTCGCAGCGTCAGAGCGCAGCCGAGGGGCTCGGCCCGGATCTGCAGCCCCTGCACCCCCCGGCCTGCCTGGCACCTGCAGGGAGACGCGCGGCGCCCTGCGTCCCCGCACAGCGTCTGCGGGCAGACTGTTCTGGTCGGAGCCCCTGCTCCGTCCTTTATTAGCTATGGGCCTTGGCAGGTGTTATCACTTCTTCTTGCCTCAGTTTCTTCATCTGCAAAATGGGTTATAAGGGTGCTTATTTCACAGGATTGTGGTACAGACTAAATGAAATTATGTGTGTAATGAATCCAACATGAAAGAGACCTTCAACACACCCTAGCTACTCTGTGGTTATGATCAGTATAATTACCACATATTCATAATATGGGACTATCATATACACACTGAGATTTCGTGGCACAGACTTTCATGGTCCACCTGCTGTGTTGTAGGCATCACCGTCAGGTCAGGGCTTAACTTGCTCGCTGTGTGACTTTGGGTAAGTTACCTAACTTCTCTGAGTCGCCTTAACAATAGCAGCGATGAGAACAACAATCTGTACCTTCAGTTACATGAGAGAATATGTACAGAGCATCTAGCATGGTGCTAGGAGTAGAGTAGGTGCTCAAGAAACCCTCTGAATGAAGCCCTCAGGAGGTGGGCATTCTTACCACTTCCTCCACCGGACACGTCCTCCCTGAGGGCTGGGGTGGAGAGGGTTCACCCTGGCCTCCCCCCCCACCAGCTCGGAGCATGGGTGGGACACACAGGCCCTCAGAAAACGCGCTTTGAATGACTGCCTGGCATCAGGCTCCGTGCAGAAGAGACCCTGATAAAATGCTTCCGACTCCTTATAACTCCAGAGACACATATCACGCCCCTCCTGTGTGCCAGCCGCTGTGCTCCTAGCCAGGACTAAGACACGGTCCTGCCTGGAGGGATGCAAGGGCCAATGGGGGGGGGGTGGGGAGTGGGGGACAGATGTGAAAGTCCCCACCTCCGAGACAGAGTGAAGAGCCCTGGAGGGATGCATGCAGGCTGCTCTGCCAGTACAGAGGAGGGAGCGACCCGGAGGGCCTCCTGGAGGCAGGCATGGCAGTCCAGCTGGGGCTGAGGGACTCAGTGGCAAGCAGCTTTCCCAGGTCTTCTGAGAAAACCTCATAAAGGCTCATATACACCCAGGAATTTTAGAACCATACAGACTTGGCTTCAAAGCCCAGTTCCCTGCTGCTAGCTGTGAGACCTGGGGCAAGTTACTTCACCTCTCTGAGCCCTGGTACCCTGCTCACAGGGCCGTTGGAGGAGTACATGAGCTGGTGCACTTAAAGCATTTTGCCCCAAACCTGGAACATAGTAGACGCTCCACTCCGTAAACGGGAGAGGGTGATGCTTATTCCTGTGGGGAGGACGGGACCAGCGTTGGCTCCCTCCCCATGTTCCTTCCAGGCCATAGCCCTTTGGTTCCAAAGCCCTGACTTTTTGGACCCTGTGGCTGCTGGTTTCTTAGGAACCACGGGGGCAGCCTCAGCTTAATCCAGGCCCCTGGCCTGGCCGAGCCCAGGTCTCCAGGCCTGACTCCTGGGGCCGCAGCCCTGGGGCCTCCTGGTCACTGGGATGACCTGGTAAACAGAGGGATTGTTTAGGAAAGTCAGCTGGAGGGGCCATAGTTTTAGCAAGGTTTCCTGGTGCCTCTCCTTCGTCCTCCAGCTCAGGGCCGGGTGGGGTGGGGCTGGGGGTAATGACTCCTGGGCAGCCACACCCCACCCCAGGGTCTGTGGCACCTGTGTGCATCGTCCCAAGCACCACAAGGCACCTGCAGACTTACTCGCTCTCGGATTCCCTCCCCACACCCATACACACACAGCTGCCAAAACTCTGCTTCTCCTCCCAGGCACTCTCCCATGCCCCCTTGTCCAGAAACCTCCCCCAAAGAACTTCAGAGCACAGTCTCGTCATCTGGTCATTTCTGTGTCCCCCTTTCCCTCTGAGAGTCCCTTGCAGGAGAAGGGACAACAGATTTTTTTTTTTTTACCTTCAACTACTTGCACACTGTGTGATCTCAGGCAGGTGATTTAACCTCTCTGAGCCCCAGTTCCCTCATCTGCAAAATAGGGATAGTAATAAGACTGCCTTATCTCAGGGATAAAATGAAATCATGTCTGTTAAGGGCTTGCTCACAGTACATGCTCAGTAAATGGGGTCTGTTCCTGCTGGCCTCACCAGCACTATTGTTATTATTCATTCATTCAACAACGATTTATTGAGTGCCTACTATGTGCCAGGCACTGTTCCAGGCACTTCCAATACAGCAAAGACTGAAACAGGCAAAAATCCTACCCTCACTGGAGCTTTCGCTCTAGAGGAAATAAACACAATAAACGAGCAGAGTTTATGATGTCAGATGGTGATTAGTGCTAGAAAAATAAAGGAGGGCGGGGATAAGGAGTGTGGGGGTGTGCAACCTGTAAATATGGTGATCAGAGGAGGCCTCCCAAGAGGTGATATTTGAGGACAGCTGTGAAGGAACTTGCCACAGAGATATGGGGGGAGGGAGAGAACACCAATAGCAGGAACAGCCAGTGCAAAGGCCCCGAGGTAGGAGCATGCCTAGGGTGTTTAAGGAATAGCAAGGAGGACAGTGTGGCCAGAGCAGAGAACAGGAGGGAGAGAGACAGTTAGATGAGGTCAGAGAGAAAACAGGAGCAGGATCCTTGGGGCCCTGTAGGCACTGAGAGGACTATGGCTTTTACTCTGAGGGGATGGGAAGCTGTTGGAGGCGTGTAGGCAGAGGAAGGACATGATCTGACTTACTTATTACAGGGGCCCTAAGCTGCTGTGTTGAGAATAGACTGGGGACAAGGATGGAAGCAGGGGGCAGTGATGGGGCTCCTGCGAATGCAGACACGTGGTGATGGGGCTCAGACCAGGATGGCAGCAGCAGACGGACTGAGAAGCGTTGGATTCTGAAAACATTGTGGAGAATTTGCTGGTGGGCAGCATATGGGAGGTGAAAAAAAGGGGAATGTCAAGAATGACTTCATGGGGCCCGGCCCCGCGGCCGAGTGGTTAAGTTCGCACACTCTGCTTCAGTGGCCTGGGGTTCACCAGTTTGGATCCTGGGCGCGGACCTACACACCACTCATCAGGCCATGCTGAGGCGGCGTCCTGCAAAGAATTAGAAGGACCCACAACCAGGATGTACAACTATGTACTGGGGCTTTAGGGGGAGAAAAAAAAAGAGGAGGATTGGCAACAGATGTTAGCTCAGGGCCAATCTTCCTAAAAAACAATAACAAGTTGGTAATATTTATAAAAAAAAATAAAAGAATGACTCCTAGGTTTTGAACCTGAACCATGGGAAGGATGCAGACGCCCTCCGCTGAGTGGGGAAGCTGCAGGTTCGGGGTGCAGGACATCAGGCGCTCACGCTGGACGCACACCAGCTTGAGTGGCCCTCGAGTGTCCAAGGAGTATGTGAGAAGAGGTTTTGGGGCAGCATGTTCCCTCCGGAGCCGAGACCCAGACCCGGCCCCCGTGAGGGCTTAGCTGGCTCTGGCCCCACTGTGGGTTCACCAGCTCCCAGCCTCCAACTTCCGTCCAAATATTAAACGTTCAGGAGCACCCACCATGCTGCCTGACCAGGGCTGAGAGTCACGGGAAGGAGCAGGGGTCAAATAAATCCTTGGCCTCCAGGTGTGTGAAGTAGGAATCAAGATGAGATAAGAAAGTCCCCTTAGTGAAGTACCAGCTGCTCATATGAACCACAATGACAATACCAGCTGCTCATATGAACCACATGCTGAGTGTCAAGCAGTCAAACCATGGAAAGGAAGATTGTGGGGCCAGTTCCCCGAGTTCAAATCTCAGCTCTGCCACTTATGAGCTGTGTGACTTTAGGTACATTGCTTAACCTCTCTGTGGTTCACATTTGTGAAACCCTTAGTGCCTGGCACATGGGCAGTGCTATGCAAGTGTTCAATAGAGACACTGCCGAGTGCCCTACAAGTGTCGTGCTAGTCTAAACAACAGCCTTGTGAGCTGTGTTATTTATCTCATTTTTTTCTTTAGATTCATTTTTATTAGGAATCATCTATGAGTTTACATAACAGTTACATCCCTTTCTCCGTAGTATACTCTGATGATCAAATAAAGCATTTAACAAGGACTTACTCCCGATGATGTTCTGTCTGTAAGTTTTCTCATTTATCTTGTTAAAAAGGTTTTCCCTATAGATGGACTCATTGTCGGTGAGTCGCGGGCCTCTCTCTCTCTCGTTCCTGTTTTATGAAAGTGTGACATGCACGTGGAGGAAAGAGGTGAGTCGCTCTACAAGGCTTGTTATGAAGGGGGGGGGCAGGAAGGGAACAGTCTCACCTCTTTCCATTTCTCTAAAGCAGTGGTTCTCAACTGAGGATGATTCTGTTCCCCCGAGGACATCTGACGTCTGCAGACAGACTGTCACACTTGCGGGTGGAGGCCGGGGATCTGCTGGATGTCCTGTCACGCGCAGGACAACCCCCCACAACAAAGAATCATCCGGCCGCAAATGTCCCCAGAGTGAAGCTGAGCACCCCTTCTCCAAGCATCGGGGGCGCCAGGGTCGGAGGAGAGGCGGGAGGCGCAACACGCTCAAGGCCACCAGGAAACAGCAAACTCCGATTCAGACTGTGGTCGAAGGGCTCCCAGCCCAGGAGGCAGACTGACCGGGATGTTGCCTTAGAGCCTGTTTGCCCAGATCCCAAGCTGTGTGACATGAAGTGGGTCGGTTAAGACTGCTGAGCCTCAGTCTCCTCATCTGTGAAATGGGTTTGACGGTACTCACCTCACTGGCTTATTGTGAGGATTATGTGACTGTCATGGGAAGGGCTTAGCACAGCACCTGACATGGATTACGCCCTAAATAAGGGGTTGCACTTTTATTTTCCAAAAAGCATTGGGGGGGGCCTGAGAAGGGATGATGACTCCTGGTTTGAAGAATCTGGGAGGGCTGCTTAGAGGAGGAGGTATTCGCACTTGGCTTTGAAGGTTGGCTGTGATTTGGAGAAGTAGGCGTGGGGGAGGCTGTCCAGGTGGTAGGCTGGCTCCGAGCAAAGACAAGAGGGGGGAAGTAGGGTTTGGGCCTAGGGTGGTTTGCCAGGTGTGGCTGGACTGGATGGTATGGATGTGTATCGGAAGCAGCAGTGAAAGGAGGACCCCATGGCCTTGACAGCACCCCCCCCCCCAGACACACCCTCCATTAGTCCCGCAAACCTGCTTACAGAGGCACACGGCGCCCCGGCCACCAGGCACGGGCTGGCAGACCAGGCCCTGGCTGGAGTCACAGACGTGGCGATGGTCACAGGGCTCCCCCAGCCGCCGGGCACACACCTGGCAGCAATTGCAGCCGTCCAGCACCAGGGGCACCCCCAGCGGGCACCGGGGTGGTGGCCAGGGACAGGCGCACGGTGTCGGGCACAGCTGGGCACACACCTGCAGAGACAGAGACCTCACTCAGCCTCGGTCGTTCAAGCTGGGCAAGGAGACCCTCACCACTGGCTACCTCTCTGCCAGGCCAGGCAGTGTGCAGTCCGCACCTTGGCCCCAGAGTCACATAGACCTGGCCTTGAACACTGCCGGTCCCATGGCACTCCCTAAGAGGCAGCAGGGCATTGTGATCACAAGCAAGGACTCTGGACTAGAGCTCCAGTCCTAACTCTGTCCTTGGACAAGTTACTTAAGCTCTCTGAGCTTCAGTTTCCTCATCTGTAAAGAGGGGGTAATGGCAGTATCTAAGTCAGACGGTGGTTTGAGGAGCAAGTGAAACAATGCTTGTTGAACCCTTAGCAGGTGGCCTAGCCTGCAGTAGATGCTCCGTGCGTTTAGGACAATGATCATCATTGTGAGTCACAATGAAGGCTTAGCCCTGCCCTCCAGCAGCTTCCAGAAAGGCAAAGCGACAAGATGAGGGATGAAAACAACAGGGCCCGAGACATTTCCAGCAGGTAGACTGTGGATATTTATCTTGAGGGCTGAAGAAATCAAACAGTATCATGGATGTTTTGATCTTTGGAACAATCCAGAATGTGTTTCTGGATGAGCATCAGATCAGCCAGGAAACTTGGTAAAATCCTGACCCCCAGGCCTCCTCCAGGACTTACCAAATCGGGACTTCCAGGGGTGGGCCTGGGGTCTGTAACCGGCCGTCTGGGGGCTTCTGATGCACAGTGAGGTTTCCAGCACCTCTGCTCCAGTCTAACTACATCCCACCCCCCGCCCCCCGCTGCCACGTATAGATGGGAAACTGAACTCCAGAGACAGGAAGGGGCTTGCCAAAAGTTACAGCCCCTGCTGCAAGCTGGGAGCCTGCCTCCCCATTGAGGACCCAGGGACCCGGGGTGGCGGGAGACTTTTCCCATAATGAGGAAAAGCCTGAGCCAGGGACCCGCCCCCTGGGGCACCGCCCCTCCCCACTCAGGACAGAGAAATAACCAAACCAGAAACTGGATGCCATGGGCTCCCCACACATCCATTTGAAGGTGGGGACCAAGAGGCAGGGATCATTCAAGATGTGCCCAGTGGCCCCATCCGTGGGGGACCAATCTTTAGTAGGGTCTCTGGAGGACTGGAGGGTTTTATCTGGAGGATGGGAGACTTGCAGTTCAGGAAGATGAAATTGATAACCTCATGTCTCCTGAGTGGCCCAAAGCAGGCAATGACCCCTTTGCCCTAGTCCCCACCTGTCCCACCCCTAGGAAACCACAGTCCTGCAAACCAGCCTTCAGTGGCCTGCAGCTCCCACCCCGGCCACCGGGGGCCACCCCAAACTGGCCGACCAGCCTCTGGCGGGGGTGCACAGGAGCGTTCCCAGGCTCCCATCTGAGACCCCACTGGGTAACAGAGGCGAGGGTGCCCCTGTGGGCATGGAGCCCGCAAGGGAGCCGGTTCCCGTCTCTGCAGGAATTTCAAGAGGGAGACACGGAAGTGGTTCTAGAGAAGACGGCCCAGCCTCGCCCCTAAAGTGTGGTCTGGGACACAGTATTAGCATCAGCATCAGCATCAGCATCACCTGGAAGCTTGTTAGAAATGCGGCATCGAGGGCCCTTCTTTATGAATCCACGTCTGCATTTTAATAAAACCAGAGGCGATTCACACGGAGCTGATCTGAGAAGCAATCGGCCGGACTTTTGGGTTCCCTTCCAAACTGGGGGTTCAGCTCGCTCGGTTAGGGGAAGTGGGGGACTCGGGCCAGAACTGGCTCTCGGGTCCGGTCCCTCCCACCTGAAACCTGGGGAGCTGGGGATAGGCTTTCTGCTTTGCACCTGGGCTCCCACTTTGGGCTCTCTCCAGCGGGCAAGCTTGGCAGGGCCGGATCTGCAGGTCCTGAAGCCCAGGAGAGGCTAATACAGATGCTTATGGCGGACATTTACACCGGCATGCCGTGTGCTGAGCGCTTTACCGTGTTGTCAAACTTAACCCTGCCCTGGGAGGTACCGTCGTTATGTCCATTTTAAAGATGAGGAAACAGAAGCCCAAAGCAATATAGTGACATCACCAGTAAGAGGTAGAGTCAGGATCAGGATCCAGGTTCATGTGGATCCACTGCCGAGGCTCTTAATTGCCATGCCCATCTCTTGTCCTCTGGGGCTCTGATGCCACTCTAGGCTCTGCCTCAATTTATCCATTTGTTCAGGAGGGACAATGACAAATCAAGAAGGATGTTCCACCATCTCCACACCCTCCCCAACCACCCCATCCTTCTGTTCAAGTTGACCCATCATACTTGGTTTCCACAGACCCTTACTGTGGTCACCAGGGGGCAGGGCTGTGTGGTAAGAGCCCTGGATGTGGAATCTTCTGGGCCAGAGTTGAAATCCAGGTTCTACTACTGACTTGCCGTGTGACTTTGGACACTTCACTGAAGTGCCCCGTGGGGAGGGAGCTGTTTCCTCCACAGTAAAATGGGGCGGAGACCACCTATCCTGGAGTCATGACAGGGATTAAATGAGGTCACGGCCAGCTCTCAGTCAATGTGACTTTGCTTGTTTCCAGGTCCCTGCCACCTGACTCCATCCACAGCCCTGAGCCCGGGAGCTCATGGCCTGCCTGGAGGCCTCGGAATTCCCTCTGAGGATTGCTGTGGACTTCCAGGTTCATGACAACTATGTCCCTGTGCTCTGCACAGGGTGCTGCCCACTCCCTGGGAGCCAGGAAGATGGAGGGGTGAGGACAGTGAGTCCAGGATGGCTTCATTTTGGTCTCATTTAATCCTTGGCCCAGAATGCTAAGTCCTCTGCTCCAGCTCCCCAAGACACCCACCCTGGCCTTGTGTCCTGCCCGTCCCCTTTGGGAGGACAAACAGTGGCAGTGGGATGCCAGCAGGGTCCTCAACCTTCCCTCAGTCACTCGTTGGGACCCAGGAGAGAGAAGCCCCTGCCCGCCCTCCTCAAAGGAGTGTGAAAACACCTTGAGATCATGGCTTGTGAGGGGCTGATCCCTGTGGCACCAGGAACTCAGCATTTGCACACACAAAGGGCTCAGCATCTGTGGCTTTGGTCCAGGTTGGGGGTGGAGAGGCATAGACTGAAGTCCCCCCATACACACACCCAGGCCCATCCTGGGCCCCACCTCCTCTATTGCTCTGATGTCTTTTTGCTGTGTGGCTTTGGGCAAGTTGCTTACCCCTCTGAGCCTTGCTTGACTGAAGACAGGGGATAATAATTCCTTATGGGTTTGTTGGGCATGTTGGCAAGGTAGGCATTCCACAGCCCTTTGAAAAATGTCCCATGAGAGAAGGTCATTATTCCGTGAGGGTGTCTCCCTGTTCCCCTCCATCCAGGCTAGCAGGTCACTTACTGGCTGAGGGTCCAACAGCGTTAATGCCCTGGCAACATGGACTTTCCCATCAGTTAGACACCAGCACCCATTCAAATCTTGGCTCATAGTCAGGCAAAGCAGGTCGTGCCTTGAGTCTCCCCGTTCACAACGAGGATGCCCACTTCTGCTTTGCAGAGGGGCTGTGGGGATGGGTAATTATCATAAAAGTCCTCTTTTGAACATTTGCCAAGTTCCAGGTCCTGTGCTAAGCACTATAAGACAAATTGTCACAAATGATCTTCACAAAGGCCCCATGAACAGTATGCCCATTCAACAGAGGAAACAGCCGAGGCTCAGAGAGAAGGGACTTGCATGGGGTCACACAGCAGAGCTGGCCAGAGGCAGCTGTCTGGGTACCAGGGAGGGAAGCTGGGCTGTGCCCCATATGGGGGGGCCTGGAAGTATTTTTCCAGGGGGCCCTTGGCAGTGACTTCACTCCTCCCCCACCACACCAAGGAAGTCAGCAGTACGGCTCAGGGCCCAGGGCCCCCTTACCTTTGAGAAGAGGCAGAGAAGGGAGAAGGCCAGCAGGTGGGTCTGTAGTGTGCCTCTCATGTCACTGTTTCCCCCACGGAGCCAGCTTTGAGCCTGGGAGGCAGGACTTGTAAGTCTTTATGTTCCGGCAGCTGTGAGGTCACTCCCAGGCAAAAATACACACACACACACACACACGCACACACACACACGCATGCACGCACACACGCACGCTGTCCTTTCCTCGCTTCTCTTCCCATCCTCATGCTCCCACTGATGAGCCCATTTACCTGAAGGTGAGACCGTGGAGGCCACCAAGGGGGTGCCTGCCAGTGTGTGTGTGTGTGTGTGAGTGTGTGTGTGTGTGTGTGTGTCTGAAAGCCAGAGCCAGTGCCGTGCCAAGAGCCTGTGACAG